GCTGCCTCCATGGTTATGTCAGACAGGCTGCAGGGTCCTGATGTCCGCCCCTCTGCTACGTGCGGACTCGCCACACGCTGAGGGTCAGCTACCGGTGTCCACTGACGCCTCTGGTCTCCCGTAGCAACTCGATCTCGGATGTTCCGCAATTACTTCAATTTCCCCGCGTTTTGCAGCTTCTGTCAGGTTTCTCTATGTCTCTCAGAGCCGTCTGTGGCTCTGCAGCATCTCTCAGGGCTCTCTCCGTCCAGCGGTAGTCCCTCCGTAGTGTCTCGGGCCTCCCAGCGCCGCTCCAGGCTCTCGGGGCCGCTCCGGTCTCTCGGCCTGTTCAGGTCTCAGCGAGTCTGGGTCTCAGTGAGTCCAGGTCTCGGCCTGTGCGGGCCTCATACGTTGCAGGAAGCATGTCATGTCATGCTCCTGCCTTTTTCTTGTCACAGTCAAAACATTTAAGAGCAAAAATAGGATACACAAGATACACAAGATACACCGGGCCCATATATTAGGCACCACCACTCAAAACTTGGATAAAACAGCACTTCTTTTCAGTCTGTCAAGCACTTCGTTTGTCTCTGCCCACTCCCTTTGCGGAGAGTACGGAACAACGGATCGGAACTCTGCACTTGCTTTGCAGCAACGCTGCGTCTCACTCACACAGCACACTCGCACACGGAGGCCTCCAACACATCTCATTCATACCACAGGAATATAATTTAGAATGATAACCAACCAAACAAGTATTGTCTCTGACTGTGTTCTTCGTGAAGTGACTTGTAACACTTTGTTTCAAACCCTTACATTTACACAAATACTTTCAACACAAAATACATACATAAAAACACATACAATTATTAACACTCCAGTTAGTATCCCTCCAGCAGCTGAAAACATACCGTTTGTCTGCAGTTTCAGGAGATCTTTGCTCCTGCGGTGAGCAGCTGAGAGTGGAGTCCCCTCCGAGCAAAAACACTCAGGGTGCACCTAGGGGCGTCCACGCTGCAGCCGATCCCGCAGCCGAGCAGAGTGTCTCCTGCCTGGCTCACCAAAATGACTCTCAGAAAGCTGACTCCACAATCAGTAGGATTGTAAAGTAGGTATGTTTACTCAGTTCCGTGCAGCACGGGGCGGGTAGTCCCACCAAAGTCGTGCAGGCCTAACGTGACAAATTGCTTTAGTAAAGAGTTACATATACATAAACATTCCTATACATATACATAACCTGTCCCTTTGTGAACACTCCTCCTTATCTTAGACACCTTGGTTAAACTCTGAACCATGAGGTTTTTAATCTGGTTCTCGGGGCCTGAGAGGCTCCTGTTATCTGGTGGTATAAGTGCAGCACAGGCACAAATGTAGCACATATTCATTCTTAATCAATTGCTCTCTAATTTCTAATTCCAATATTTCAGCTTGCTCTTTTCTGGATCCACGGGTATTCTAGTATTAATGTTCAAAGCCTGACAGACCCCGTCCTCCGTGGATCAAAATACAGGGGGTCTTAAGGGTTCTTTTGGTCATTCTATCATATAATACTGGATCATTTTCAATTTACTCTTTAATTTCCTGGGGCCCCTATTGTTCCAATTTCTAATCATTATTCATAATGGACTTTTTGGTAATTTGCTCCCTTTCTGGTCCTTGGTCTTCGATTTTATCTGACCCATCCAGGAATTTTACTAGTGGCAATTCCCACAGCCCTTGGCTGCCCAGTGAGAGTGTCTTGCAGGGGGTTTAGGACCTATCACCCACCCACGTATCCCTCTTCTCACCAGTCTAGCCCCCCCGACAGGAGATTAGAACCAGTGAGAAAACAAAAAGACCTCCACGCTGACTTTAGAAGTCTCAGTTACACTCACACACACAAAAACTGGCAACCGTACCCTTACCCAACCGGACGGTATCTTACGAATCAGTCGTCTTCGTCCAGACTCCAATCGGACGGTATCCACCAGCGTCTCTGCTGTCTTCGTCTGGGATCGAACCAGACGGTATCCAAACGACTGTCGTCTTCATCCGGTTCGATTCCGGACACCGGAATCCAACCGAACGGTATCCAAACGACCCTGTCGTCTTCGTCCGGATCTTCGCGCGCAGAATTACGGGCAAAAAACAGCCGGCAACACGGGAGCTCAAAAAAAAATTAAATTCTTTGCTTACCTTTATTCAGGTTCAGGATGGCATTAGTCCCGATCTGACTCAAACAGGAGCCACCAAATGGTGGGGCGCCTCTCCTAGATTAAATCAGAATTCAGGAACTATAGCCCTCCCGGACGAGCCCCCAAATTGTTATAAATGGCTCAGGATTCAAATTAGGATTAAATAAAAAAATAGGATTTATTAAAAGAATATAAAGGAATAGAGGTAAGCAAACAGCGCTGGGTGCACCGGGAGTCTCTGCTCCACCAGGACGCACACCAGTTACATCAAGCAGCTGATTTTTATGCACCTAGACTAATACATATTCATTACTACTTCTAAAAAAAGAGATTATTAAAATTAGCTTCCGGGGTCCAGTTCCTCCTACTGGAGCATGCGCATCAGTCTCCTCTGGGGGTCTCTAGGGGTCTTTCATGCTGAAGGCTCGTAGTCTTCCTCTCACCCTTTGTACTTACTTGGCACTATTCCAAGTTTATGGAACACTCTCTGTACACTCTCCACAGGTCTTGTCTCCCAACCGTCCTTCAGCTTCTTTTTTCTTCCTCTTAATCTCTTGGCCCCCCTGGCCAGATACCAAGGATCCTCATAGTATCCCGTAACAGTCACTAGTTGTTATCAGTTGTTCTGAAACTCCCAGACATCAAACACAAACAGCTTTCTTATTTGACGCTTCACGAGTAATTAAAACATTCTTCCCCAGCCATTCACAGACACATCTATAGCAGTGTTAAATTAATCTCGAAGAAGACAGGAAAAAAGGCTGTAACTGTTAGAACTAGAAGTCAGGAATAACAAAAGCAAACAGGTTCATAAATTTAAGGAGTGTTTTCTGAAGTCGTGATAAATTGACTGGAATGAGGGGGAGACTGGGGCACACTGCATCTGTGGTTCAAGAATTAAACTGCCAGTGCAGGGCCCAGAGGCAGACAGGATTCAAACAGAATTATTCTTTATGCACATGAATTTATGGACACGAATTTATGGACACGAATTGGAATTGTTAAAACATTCCTCACAGTATGAAGTTTAACTCTTGCAATGAAATCGTCTAAGAGTAATTTTTTTTTTGTAGAATCATTTCATTAACAGTAAAACAAAACAACTTAGGAAGAAGTACAGTACGTATGTTCTGTTACATTGTCTATGCCTACGACTTTCCTTCAATTAAAATTTATGTTCCAAGGAAAAAATCTGCTATTTACTAAATTTACTAAATCTGCTATTTACTAAATTTGTGAGTTGATACTGACATCATGAGACTTCAGGAACATCCATGTTCCAATTGAGACAGAACCTGAATTTGGTATAAGAACACGTCCCCACCCCATAAACATGTTATGTGCATCAAAAAGAAAAGGGGAGTTCAGTTTGATGGATGTTTCACAGACCCAAGAGTCAGGATGCTCAGAGCCTGTTTACAGCCTGTCAGTGACTTGTGTGACCTTGTGTACACACTGATTCGGGTGCCTGAGTAGGCTGCAGTCTAAGTCACCTTAAAGTGATTCATAGTTTGTAGTAAATATGGAGATGCTTAAGAGTTAGCCCACTTGTCTGCATATTTGGGATGAGTCTTTTTGCACTGTGCTTTTTTATCAATAGAAACAGAAATGACACTTATCCTTTGAGTAACAAATATCAAAACTGCAGATTACATGATATGGATGAGTGCTAAACATAGAATTAAACATATTTTTAAGGTACTGTCACGGAAACCAGTTAGGAAAGGATGACTTTTAATATTAAATGTGAATATCAGTGGCTGTTAAAATGATATCATAATGGAGTATAGCAATTCCACACAAGACTAGAAGGGGTTGAAATTACTCTCAGTAAGCAAACCAGTTGCAGAATATAGAAATAAAGGAAAATATGACTAGGGTAGGGAGAGGTCTTATGTGCTATGATGGTTTCTGTAATGACAGGCAATAACATCATATAAATCTCTTCCATAAACTGCTCAAGCTCTGCCTGAACAGTTTTATGCTTTTAGTCTTGCAGCCGTATTTAAAAGTTTGCTCAAATATTTAATTTCTTAGATGACTAGAAATATTTAAATCCATTATGTGTGCATGTTAATTTTGTACCAGTATTAGTCTCAATGCTAAATAATTTTTCATGTTCTTCTATTCACTGAGAAGTGGCTAGAGTTAGACTTCCCCTTCCCCCAATTCATGTTGTTTTCCTAATCTGTTCTAGTAAGGTCTGTTCTAGAAACCTTTATCTGATTCATCTGAATTTTCTTTTCCAAGACTTCCCATGTTCAGTTAATATTCCCATATCTCTTCCTCCTTTGTCATCTACTGTTCATAATAACGATCCTTACTTGTCCTCCAATGTATGCCTTTCCAGTTGGTGCTACTAATACATTTTATGCTAATTTGTACCACACAAGTTTGCAGTACTAATGAGTACCTTCTAAATTGTGATCTGTTCTTTCTCAACATTGGCAATACTTTCCAACTTCTGTCATTCCCATATTCTATACATTATAAATATGCACAGTTAGCTTTTAAAAAACGTACTGTGCAAATACCAGAAATGTTCCCAGGCTGGTCTTCAAGGACCAGCACCAGTAACCTCTCTCTAATCCCTGTAATTTACCTATTAATAAAACCTGTCAGTACTTGTATTCATTCTCATGTTCTACACCTTAAGCAACAATTTCCCATAATACTCTATAATGTTGAAACATAGGTAGATTAGGCCCACTGTATTAAATTTGTTTCAAGGTGTTGAAGTAGTGTGACATGATCAACTATTAATAAAACGCAGTTGGGTTGTATTTCACTTACTAATTACTTCCACATGTCCTGGGTTTCTGTTTTCTTTAAAGTATATCCCTGAATAACTTTGAGGTCAAACTAACAGACCTGTCACTACTTGGATTGTTTTCCTCTTTTCTATGTTAACAGTTTTCTGGTTGTTTGGTTTCACCTTGAGCTTGGTCATATTCCTCTTCCCCATGCAATTCTCTTTTCTATCTTTCAGTTTTCTTGGAACTCTGGAAGGATTTCTGGAGAAACTGCTGTGGACTAAGCTCTTTCTGTCTCATTGACAAGGACCAATGTCCTTCATCTGTAAAGATCTGATACACCTGCACTGATACACAGAACAACACACTCTTCAGTAAGTACCCAGTAAGTCTAACATGAATAAATCACACAAGCTGGAAAATATTAGCAGGTTATTTTCACTCTGGCAGAAGTTACAAGGAGGAAATTTCTATTGAATTTACCGGAGGTGTGGTATTGTTAATCACTCTTCTAAGTCTAGGGATTGAGGAGGTAGCAGTTTAAGGCACTAGTTATTTGATTTATTAAAATTTAATGCAAGTTTTATTTAGCCTTAGTTGTTCCTTGCCTTAACAACATCAGCAATTTTTAAGGTGGAATAAAATACCTGAGAAAAGAAGATGACACACATAAAGTAAAGCACTCCTCCTGAAAACAAAATGGATGTGAACACAAGACTGTGTAAGACTGTTGTCTTTAGACTAGCAAGTGTGGAGATGTTTTCCTTGTTGCTCTGGAATTGTCTGAAGAAACAATAGTCCTTTCAGTAATTTTGAGGCAATAGCAAAATCTTTGATTTAAAAAATCAGAAGTGGGGTTGAGAATAATTCAGCCCTTTCATATTTTTTTGGGGGTGTGTGTAAAAAGAAAATGATTGCCATTTCATTTGCTGAAAATAGAACTAGAGTGTTTTGTTTATTTATTTTTCTGTAATTTTAATTTGCAGATCTCAGTGGCCATTTCTTTCAGATTTCAGTAAGTTTGTGTGGATCACTCTACTGATAAAGAGTTCATGTTTTTTGTGTTTTTGTGTTGTGGCTGCTGCAGTGATACTGATCTGAAAACTTGATTCTCCAAAATAATGAAACATATAACTATATCAGTTTACTTTTGTCAGAAAAAGTGAGTCAGTTCCCATGGCAGCCTCTGCAGCTCTGAAGACGCTATGGGCTGTCAGACTGTTGTGTATCCGATTTTTTGCAACAGCTGGATTTCCTCCTACTGCTATGTGTGAATCAGAAACAACTGCTAACAAAAACAAGTTGACTGCCTTTTATTACTAACCCCTGATTAATGAATAATGAATGTGATGGTAGAGGATAAAATAGCCCAAAAATAGATCTGTGCTTTAGCAACATGATTGCTCAAGCCAAACCTTAAATATTATTCATTTTTGAAAATTTCATGAAGGCACATATTTGCTGCATCTTAAAGCTTGTAGTTTTGTAATTTATTATTATTTTTTTTATTTTTTAAGAAAAGACAAACTTGTTTAAATACCTACCCAAAATCAGAGTGCAACAGAGCCAAACCAAATCCTATCTTCCATAAAGATGTCACACCTCTGAAGCAGAAAAAAAGATGTTCAGGAGTCAAATACCGTTTCTTTTATTTCAGGGTTTGTCAGTGCTTGAATACTTATTTCACTGCTTCAGTGAGTTTCCTGTAAGTAATGGGTAGGCAACAAGATCCCAGATTTTCTGTAGTTTGCGTTGAATACATGTCTTTAACCAGTTAGGAGAGAAACAAATATGTTACTGTGTGAAAAAGCAAGGGAAAGCAATAAAAGTTGTAGTAGATTTTTAATGAGCATGTCTGTGTTTCAGTTTTGGCTACAGCTCTTCAAGATGGTGAAATAAAGATCGAAAAGACAGAGAACTATGGGAGTGAGAAAAATGAAGTTGACATACAAGGATAAATTGACAGGTATAAATTTCTGTGATTACATAATATGAAAAATTAAAGAACTTTTATGATTTGTTCTTTTTAGACTGTTACAAAATCAAGAATAAGATACTAATTATAATTAAAGGATGATGCTATGTTGCCAGAAAATAATATAGAGTTCTGATTTATAGCTCAAGTAGCCAGCGTGCATAATTTATTGATATTTGTAGTAATTGAGAGAGAAGGTAGTTTTATGCATAGCGTATTTTGCAAGGGATGAACTGCTGGAAGGGGTGTGTATTTTACCAAACAAAATCTAGTAACGTATACGTGTATGTCTTGATTCATATATTATGTTTTTAACAGTAGTTTTCAATATACCAGTTGGGGTTCTTACATCATAAATTTACTTTCTTTTTCTGACTAAGTGTTTGGGCTTTGGAAAATTTCATTTTAATTTTTCACTCTTTTCAAGATTCTAATGAAATTAAATGAGATGCTAGAACATTCTATATACCAATATCTTCATCTGTAAATGGTCACAATAAGGTTTATTCTAAAAGGTTTCCATGATTCACTTTTGCTAGAGGTGTGTTTTCAGATAACCAGTGTGAAGATGCTAAAGAAAACAGAATTAGCTGTATTATGTTTCTCCTTGAAGAATCAAGTACAGGCATTGGCAAAGGCGAGTTATTGATCTACCTAGCAGGGATCTGCAATGGCAAACTTCCATGCCTGTTTATATATTTAGCAGCATCTAATATTAGTAGCATCAAATTTCTGTCAACATTTATATTATCATAGCTGCACTGAGTTCCAGCTTGGCTTTCAGAAAGCTTGCATCATAAATGTACAGTTTTACACTACTTTTGAACTCTACAATGGGGTCAATTTTTACCACTGTCTTTGTAGATAACTAATTAAGATGATGACAGAGTCTACATTTGCTCCATCTTCTTTCTTTACTCAAAATGCTTGCCAACATAGTTCCATTAGCATGTTTACAGTACTGAGGGATTAGGTGTTATGTGCTTAAAATGAGATTCACAAGATAAAATGAGATTCACAGGATATTCAGGTGCCCAACTGCCATTGACTCTTGGAGTTGGTTGCTTAAGTAACTCTGGCAACCTGGGCTCTAGTAATTTATAAGTATGGATCAGGAATAATTGTTTTGGATTCCTGAGTTTGAGGTCAACTGGAGATGATTTAAAGGGGCATCTTTGTCTCAGAATAAGTACTCAGCACATTCTGAAAACTTTTTTTTTTTTTTTTTAAGGTATCTGCATCAGGGGATAGAAAATCACCTGTCACTTTTGAAAGCTTTGGTTGACAGCTGCTGTAATAAAGCAGTCACCAATCCCCAATACTCTTTAGTATTTCAAAGAAGTGTTCTAAATGAGGGGGAGATCTTTCCTTTAATAGACAGCCTTGTGAAACTATTTCTTTGTGACAATAAAAGAAAAAGAGTGCTTATCTGAGTTGTACATGCATTTTTTAGTACAAGTAATTTTGATCTGTCTGTTCAACAACCATGTTAAATCTCTGAGCTAGAGCTTACCCACATTGTGTTGTTTGTATAGCAATGAAGCAAATTAGAACTACTAAATGGGACAAATACAATGTAAAGATGAAAAAAAAAAAGTAATGGTTTATGTCTCCTTTTAAAAAGAAGATCCAAAGATTTTTTTCTATATTTTACATACAGAAGTTACTGCACCTGCTTTAGAGCCATAGCAATGCATTCCTGAATTACTCCATGAAAGGTGTAAATAATATATGCATTCAAAATCTCAATGTACAAAGGAGGCTGCTTGTAGCAAACCTGCAATTGTTAGTTTTGGAAGTTTATGCATTTTTCTATTCTTTAGCATAGACATGTTACCTCAGTACAATTCCCAATTTGCATAACCTCATCATACCTTTATATCCCCAGACTACACACATAGTCCAGAAGCTTACTGTAATTATATAGGGTGACACATTTCTTTTCATGGGTAGCAAAATGAAATGCATGTCACCTGTTGGTCTGTGGGCTGTAGCAGATCTGCTAACTGTGAGAAGCCACTGCCTATGGGTTGATTCACAGCGAGCTTCTCACTTTGGTGAGAGTATGCCATGTGTGAATAGCACTGCAGTCTCTTGCCATGTTACATCTAAACTGTTGTAATCCCACTATATCGTATCTCACAATATACTATTAAAGAGTTAATGAAATGGCGAATATGATCATCAGGGTAGTTGTAAATAATGACATTATATACTCGGATGAATCTTGTCATTTCATTACTTTCTTTTTTTTTTTTACCAAGTTCACTAGATTCCACTCATGAGTTTGTTTGTACTTCTTATTCATGGCTATATATATGTGCATGTGTATGATTTGTGTAGACACTCAAATGGGGATGCCTCAAAACTCAAATTACTGCTAGGTGATGCATCTTCAGAAATGTGGGAATAGATCTTTTTCCTTGCTAGTATATTAAGATATTCCATCATGAAACATTTTTTCTCTTTATTATTACAGTGCCTGGCATACTGTTTCTGTAATAAATATTAATAATTTCTAATTTGCACTCAGAACATAGCCCCCACTCTTCCTACAACAGAATAGTAACTTATTGATTTGATTTTGCTTGAAATATCATCCTATTTCAAAGTCTTTTTTTCCCCAAGAGACCCAGCACTAAAGGTGCCAGTGGTGTGCAGAGAGAGAGCCCTGGGGAATTCAGAGTGTTACCCTTCATACAATGGCTAAACTACTGACTGCAAAAGTTCTACATCTATGTGGTGTGGCTTGGCTATGACACATGTGCTCAGCTACGAAGTTGGGGGAACGTAGGGGAGAGTTCTGGGAATGAAACAGAAAACAAAGCCTGATTTCATCCCCTTTTCCACAGTTCCATGCTAAATACCATCACTTGCATATTTTGGGAACAGCTTCTTACTACATGAGCCATGTGAAAAATATGTTACTTAATTTAGAAAGTAGTAAAGCTCTTCTGAGTACTGTAAAAGTGATGATAATTAATGCAAGAGTTGTAGTCAGCTCTTTAAATGCTCAGTATAGGTTCTTTTTTTCCCTGCTGTTCAGAGTAGAAAAGAAATAGGCACAACCAAAAGCTGTAGGAGGACTGGTCACAGTGAATGGTGTCTGTGCAGACTGTTCCTCCCTATTTTAACTGTTCTGTAGCTGTGTTAATCCCCACATTTAATAGGCTGGTAGGATGATGCACTTCATTGAAAAACACTGAAAGGAACAGCTGTGGTTACTGGCATGCTTGATTCTAAGAAATGGTGAAAATTTTTGTTAAAATGAGTGGTAAGCCAATGCTTCTGACCGGCATTAACTTCTTTGGTGTGTATGGCCCCTGCCCTACTGGTTGATAAGGTTGCTGTCATATCTACTGGAAGGTGGATCAAAGTATATGCAAGTGGCTGGATTAGTTCTACTAGTCCTGCAGGTTAGGGAGGAAATAGTCAGGCTATACAGCAGTAAGGACTATTATGAAGCCTTGCCCAAGATACCCACAAGATCTAAGTACAAAGCTTTATAAGTGTATTTCTTACATCTGTAGGCATTAAACAAATAAATATTAGAGGAACAAGCATATATGCAAAATCATGTTATTTGGTTTTATTTTCCTTGATCCACTCCAATTGTAGTGTAATTGTAGACTATCCCTTGAATGACTCCTATGTGCACAGATGTGATTTAATATATTTCAGTGGCACATTAAACACATCCTCTCACTTATCCACCATTCTCCTTTAAAGCTGAGGAGTCTGTGTCCTACCCACTATTCCTTGCCATTTTCATGTCACTTATTCTCCAGTCCTTCAATCACATGACAAGCTTTTGGATTTTTCCATTCTCTTTCTACTTATGCCAAATCCTGTTAGTATTTTTCTGATATGCACTTCCCTTCATCCATTGTCCCCACTTTCCCTGTCCAGATATTGTGTGCAACTCTTCCCCTGTGCCTGTATTGCTTTAGAAAATCTGCATTGCCTCTGCATTGGCACTGCATTGTCTTGGCAGGCCAGACTGTCACCTGGGACATGAAAATCAGCGCCCAGGGCCAGGCAGCTCATGCAGCAGGGAGCTGGGAGCCGCTCAGCTCCCTCTTGCCTCCATCCCTTGGCCAGGAGCTGCTGGGGAGCTTCAACTGTCCAGGGTGCTGAAAGCCACCGCCAGGTTTGATGGTCTTCAGCACCCACCCTCCCCTTTGTGACTCTGCTACTGGTATGAATGGCAAAGGAACATAGGTATCTCTGAAGGCTAACCCCAAATTTCCTGTTTAATATAGAGGAAAGTTATCAACCTGCTAAGGTAAAGCTTCATGTAGCTATCTAGTAAGAAATCTTAAAGAAAAATGACAAGAGAGAACAGTACTGCTCTAAAATGAATTTGGTGGCTTGTTTTTATTAATCAAGCTTTCTATTTTTGTCACATATCAGACTTTGATCTTATGAGGATTCTTTGGAGACATCATGGAAAAACTAAAGGCCAGATTGTAATTCTCCCATGACTATGATTCAGGAGTAATTGTACTGAAGTCAAATTAAACTAATGTGAAACAGATGTAAGTGGGTTCAGACAGAGACCCAGTACTATGCAGCTTGAGTTAATGCTTTTCTACATGGCAGAACTTTTCCTGCACAAATTGCTACATTATATTATTATACTAAAAATGTGCACGTAGTGCACTTTTTCAGATAGCTACCTCACATTTTTATTCTATTCCACTTGAGTTCCTGCTGGCAATACAAAGGGATTGATATAACAGTTGCCTGAAACCTTGAGTCTGGCTAATGAAAAATGGTTACCAGGAAAGAACCGAGGATGAAGAAGATAATGACAAACTTCAAACCAGATACCCCCTCTCCAGTTCAGGCATTTCAGGGGTAAGATGCTTACAGTGAGGCTGGAAATATGAATTATGTGTTAGGATATGAGAGGTGGGATCCATAGAGTATTCTGTTTAGTGTCACTGGCCAAAGGAACTTGCATACAAGCTGTGGTAACTCAAACAGCTCAGACCTGAACAGATCCTATTCTGGCAAAGGCTATTACTGTCGTGTAGACTCACTGATTTCATTGAAACCATTTCTGCCAATAAGAAGTAAATGTACAGTTCTAAGGGTTCGTTCCGGAATGAAGGCACAGCACTGCATGCTAAGACTTAACGCTTTCTAAGAAACTGCATGAAGTAGAAGACAATAGCAGGTTGGTTTTCCTTGCACAGTTTGTAGTAGTCCTGATAATTAGTTACCTTTGTGATTCCTACCTACACTAAAGCTTCTAAAAACCTTCTGAAGAAAGGTCTTAAGGTCATCCTATAGAGAAGGCTTTTAAAGGTCTTCCTAGACAGAAGGCTTCCTAGACAATAAAGAACTATAAAAGAATCCTGCACTGGATCCTGTCCAAATTCATAGTATGGAAGGACGGGTCAATAGAACTTAAAGAACGGAATGCACTTCACTTGGGTTATTCTCTGGCTTTCTTGGTCTGAGTGTAAATATGAACAGTCTTCAGACAATAAACCAAACAAAGAATAATCTTCACAGTCAGAAATACCAGATTTCAAACAACCATATAGTTAACCAGAAACTGAATAGTTAGATGCACTAATGTGCATACTGCAAAGTGATGACAGAAAGACTGCCATAGACTTCAATCTAACCATGTCTTATCCCTTCAGTGCATCCAAGAAAGGAAACATACAAGTTACAGGTGATTTCTATCTACTATAAATGCATTTTTCAGTTCTCGTTCACTGGATTTAAGTAGGTATAAGATCTACTTACTCATCAGTTCTGCTGTGGGTTTCTTTCAGTTGCATCAGAACAGCTTCTAAATCACTCATGGCATATTACTAATGACCAGTAAAACAGCATTTAGCATTTTATTCTTCTGCCAGTGGGATTGCTTGTAATAGAAAGTCTCTTGTCTGTTGTGTTGTGATGGTCACAGGCCTACTCCTCTAAGACACTCAGCTAACTCTGAGGCCATAAGGTCTGAACAATGAGCCCTAAAAGAAAAGAAGAATTTAAGCAGACCAATTTGATAAATTACTGATAAAAAGTCAAGTTCTGAAAATTTTTATGCAAGTACTAAAGTAGATTGATTGTACTATATTTAGTTGTTGTTTTTTTTTTTTTTTTTTTTTTCCTAGTGGTTTTCCATTTAAATATTAAACATTACTGAATCCACTTAGCTTATAAAAGTTGACAGAGTAACAGCTTGAAACACTATAGCTTCAAGGCACCAGTTCTCCCTATCATGAGAATTCAACATCACTGAGGGGTGAAAGGCCTTTTATTTGCATAAGATAATAGTTACGTTTCTATGCAACAGCTGTGCTGTCAGTGAAAGATGCGCTTATTGTGCCAAATCCATCTCTGGAGTAACCCCATTGATTTTCAATGAGTTACTTTGGGAATAAATTGGCCCAATAGATAAAACTGCAGGTCTGAGGTATTGAAATAGTTGAACAAGATTTCCATGATCATAACACGGCAAAAAATTGCAAAGCAATTATATGACATTGTGTATTTCTGTACTTGACAGATCACAATTTGTTTGCCACAAGATTTTTAAACCATATAGCTGGAACCAGGCAGATGTTTGTGTAGAGCTTACAGATACTTTTGGGGAATATGGGAACATTAAGAAGATACAAGAGACAGGAATATGGTATTTTGTCATTATTAGGAACTTGGTGTTTTCATGATACTGTAAGTCAAACAAATGAGATATCGTTTTAGTTTAATACTAAAAGATTCTTGTGGCCATATGAAAATTCTTCTTTAGACAGTAATAATCAGGATCTGTTTTTGTTTGTTTTTTTTTTTTTTTTTTTTTAAAAAAAGTTTTTGGTAATGAAACTGCCTGAAGATTTCCCCTTCAGGCTATAGGTTTATTTCCTGCTTATGTTAGCAGGTATTAAATGTTGTTGGCCTTGCAGGAGCCTGTTGAGTTCTCAGTGGACAAATGTCTGCAGGACAATACCCACCTCATCAGTTAACTTCTAGTAGTTATGGCACAAAGACAAAGTATTGCTTGGGTTAGGGTGACAGAGCTCCTAATGACAACTGAGTAAGGTATGTCCAAACATCAATTTTTCTCAGTAATGTACAAGATACCAGTAAAATAGTAACTGTTCTGAATGCTGAAGAGAAGTTATATACATGCATATATATATGTGTATGTGTACGTATAGATATTATAAAGAACTACACATTAGTAGTTCGTCAGAACTAGGGGCTCAGAAGTCTTGTTTGAAGTCTTTCTTGGTTACTAGAATAATGAAAATATTACCCACTCATGACTCAAGCAATCATAATGCACAATTAACAAAGCCTATTCTCATTTTTTTTTCCCATTCAGTTTGCAGAGGTAACGTCAACAGGATTCCCAAAGCCTCTTCAGAATGCATTGTGGTGTGCTTGCAAAGGAAATACCTTGTTTTCCTGGTGTCATCATTGCAATCATCTCAAATTCAAGTCTGACTGAGCGCAGACTCATTATAATTCTCACCATGTCCTCCCTTAGAGCAGCCTCTCCCGCCTCCTCCTGTACAACACAAAACAAGAGCCACAGGGGTGCTTGGATTAAGAAAGAACAGACTTCCAGCACCTCCCCCCAGGAAAACTTTCACTACTGCATCTAGTTCCTTCAAACTACCTACTGCTTCACAGGACCTTGCACACCTTCATTTGGTTGTGGATTCACAAATACTGATTTTCCCTTCCTGGTTAAGGTTGAACAAAGACTGGGGACAGACAGGGATGTGTGCTATCTATTTAGCTTCTGAATGTGGAAGTGAAAAGAGTGTGCTAACCTCCACAATAAGAGTTTCCTGAAGAGAGCCACATGCTTCAGACTGTCTTATTTTTCACTCAGGCAGATTTCTCTTTTCCATCTTACAAGGTAAACTAACATCTAAGCAAGAGATAAGAAAGCAAGACAGAGAGGTCAACTGGGTAAAACGAATTATGGGGCAAAAAGCATGTGTCCTAGGCACCAAGTTTAGATTACAGCCTTGTGTCCTGAAAATTCAGAAGATCCTAGCTATGGACATCACCACTGATTCTGATACGGGTCTCTGACCCATGTGAATAGGTAGATTTCTCCCCCAACCATCACCCATGAGTGATCCCCTTCTCTCGATGAGTTCATCTTTGCAGTGAAGCAGAGGAGGCAGGACAGGGTTAACCCTGCACACTCTTCCTTCAGGTCCCCAGAGGGGCTGGGGTTTTGTTTTCCTGGCTGAGGGAGGGAAGCCGAGGCATATATTGTAACTCGAACCAGAGACCTTCCTGGTGTGGACAGTTCACAGCTTCTTTTGGGTTTGAGGTTAAGCCTGGAGTAGGGGGAGAGGTGGAAAAATGCAGCTTGGCCAAGTGGCGAGCGCCTGGTCATTGCACGAGGTACACCCAAGCATCCTCCATTTTGCCAAAGCCCCCTGAGAGCCTGGGAGGGCCCGGAGCCCCCCCTGTGCCTGCCTCCCATCCCTCCCACCCCTTCCCCGCAGCCTGGCCGCATCTCCCCGCTCTTCCAGCCGCCTGTCCGTGCCCAGAGTGCGGGGTGGGCCGGGGGAAAGGAACCCCCACGGTGCGGGGCTGGCGGGGCCTGGCCGCCCCATCAGGGTGTGAGCGGGCTGCGAGCATCCCTGCCCTTCCCCTCCCCCGGCGCTGCGGAGGAGCCTCTGGCTGCTGCCGTACTCCTGCCATGTGCTGCTGCTGCTGCTAGTAGCTAGCCGAGCGTGGCTCCGGCTGCAAACTCCGCCAAACAAGCCTGCATCCTCCTCCGGGGAAGGGGACCCCGTAAGTACCAGCGGGAGCATCCCCACCCGGGAGCCCCCCTCCATCCCCCGCCGCCTCTTACAAAGGGACCGGCAGCCTCTGCCCACCCCCTCCCTAAGCCAGTGCACGGAGGGGCTCGGTGAATTCCCTCCAAAGCTATAGGGTGGCTCCTTCCTCCTCCTCCTCCTCCTCCTGCACCCAGCCGGGGGTGCCCAGCCTCCCCCGGCCATGCGGCTGCGGCTCGCCCCGCTGGCTGGTTGTGGGTACCCTGCCCGGGGCTGAGCCGAGGTGGGCTCGGTTTTGGGGTGGCTTCGACCGGGGTTCGTGGGTGTCTGCCTCAGGGAGGTGTCCCCAGGGCTGGGCTGGGCTCCCCAGCGCCGTGCCCCCCTCAGGTGGGCGCAGCAAAGGGGCCGGGCTGCAGCGGGGACCCCGCCACCCCGACCCCTGCAGGGGGCTGCCGGCAGCATCCCCGGGAGGCAGCGGCACCCCGACCCCCTGCCCACCCTATCCCGCTCCTCTCCCTCTCCCAGGTCCCCTCCCTGTGCCGGGGTGCCCGCACCCCTCCTCACCTCGCCGGTGCAAACCCCAGCACTGCCCTCCCCTCCCCGCCCTTCCCCACCTCCTTTGATTTATTTGTGTATTTCTTGCCTTGGCAACCACCAGTTCCCCTCAGTCAAACGGCGCAGGCTCCCTATAATTTGAAATTAATTTGTTTGACTGCAGCATCGAGACAGGAAGGTTGGGAATTTATTTAATTCTTTTTCCTCCCTGTGCAAAAAGGAAGCGATGAAATTTCCAATCGAGACTCCAAGAAAACAGGTGAACTGGGATCCTCAAGGTTGGTGAATCTCTCTTACTACCGTTACTACAATAATAACAATTATTATTGTTACTCCTTCTGTCGAGTGACTCGTAGGGGGCTATTTGACTCCAGATGGGAGGAGATGCTGGATGCTCGTCTGCTTCCCATGTGCACTGCACAGGCTTTCTTGCTCAGTCTTAGCACTGTGCTGGGGAACACTCCTCAGATGTGGGGTTGGGTGGGTACGTGGGTAAAGCCTCTTTTCGGTGTAAGTTTTGCAGTTCTATATTTGATGTCACCCTTTCCTTCCCTCCCTTTTTCTTGAGTATTTCCCTGGCAAACTTGCCTGGGATGGCTGTGATCCCTGGCTCAGAGCATTGTTTGTTTTATCTGTGGCTCCTTTGTTGTTTGTAGTGATCATTGTCTCTGCTAAATGGGTGGTACAGGAGTGGACACAGATGTGGCAGCTTGCTCAGAGCTCCTTGATGGTAAATGTTTGTTGGCAAGCAACTGGAGCAAAATGCTGCTGCAGTGTAACCCATAGTGTGGACAGTATAAAAAAACATTAAATAGTGGAGCCCAAAGGGACCCCTTGACTTTTTACACTGTTATGTTAACAATTGATCAGCCCAAGTGGATAGTTTGATTAACTCTATAGTTAGGTTTGGACTCTGTCTTGGCCAGTGTGTTTGTGTGATGGTGGCAGGAGATTTACGCCAGTGCAGTGGTTTTCAATAAAATGATCTAAGTTGTGTTTTAAAATAAACTGTAATGAAATGCTCTCCCTTCCTGACATGGGAGGAGGCTTATATGCATCCTACAGAAGAAGTGACTGTAAAAAAGCTACTGGCGATGTGTATACTGGTGTGTCATATTTCTGTGCATTGGTACAGGAGCAAAGCAACTTGAAGCCATATGCTTAGGTTTGCAGCAGAACTGCTGGCAGCCAGGCGCTGTACAGCAGTGCTTGCTGGAAGTCTGAAGTGATAGCATGGGTGTTGGCTATTCATCTTTATTCCACAGGTTTGGTTTTAGTGGTCAATTTGCCTGTCATCCTCTGTGCCCTCATGTCTACAAAATGAAACGTTAGAAACAGTTTCTCCTGGTGTAGAAGAATACAGCAGAACAGACATCTTTCTGCTGAGAAGATCTGATGTGCTGTTTGAATAGTATACACTTTATACAATTAAGCTTTAGTTTAAGCCTTACTACATCTTTAATAAGGTGAAGGCTGGAATGAACTCATCAGCATCCTCCGCCCTCAGCTTCACAAGGAACACATGGGCAGTAATGCTAACAGAGATCTGGTTATTTTAGTGACAGTCTATTCCTTATCCTGCGGTGAAAACTTGCTCTTCCCAGGTTCATTTCTGAATCTGTGTTTGCTGTTGTTTCATTTTATGTCATTTTATGCATTGCAAAATGCCTTTTACTGTGAAGAGCTCTTCCCTCCTCTCCCCTGACAAGGCACAGAGGAAGCTGTGCTGCTGGCATTCTGCATACAGCCCCCTTGCTTGGCAATCAGTTTTAAAGCATATGGATCCAACAGGTGGTTGGTCACAACCTACTAATGTGCCCAGAACTACTAGTATTGTGACAGGTTGAAGACCTCAGAGCCAGCAGGTTTCCTCTCTGCCAAGCTGAATCCCTGGTAAGGGCTGCAGAATGCTACCTGTTATTTCCCTTCAGTGTATTGACTTCATTAACCAGGCAGCAAGGATGCTAATGTATACTCAGGAAGGAAGCAAAAAATGTTAATTTCTAATTCTCCAAGGGACTCAGGAAATAGATAAAAATCAGTGGAATGGAAAAACAAAAACAAATTGCTAAGGAAAAGTTGTCTAAGGTCCAATCCTTTAATCAGCGCAGGATAGTCCAATGTTACCTATGTAGCCTGTTCTCTGCATGTACATGTGAAGAATGATGCTACGTTTTAATTACTGTTTTCTTAGATACAAAGATCAAGGTAGAGAAATCTTGCAGTGAACGGATACAAAGAGTCCTGACTATTAAAAGCAGAACAGTTAACCTTCACACTCAAGTACCCAGCTTATTTCAGAGTGCATTGTATTATAATGCTCTGTTCTGGTCAGACTGAGAACAAGCAGTTTCCACAGTTCTGTCTAGCATGAATTGTGCTAACTTGTGCTACCAGTTAGCTGCTTGAAATATATCAACCGATGTTCCTGGCAAGCAGGCTAGCAGTCTGAAGATGTGTGCGAGAGCTGTGGTATCTCTAAGCTTGCTTAAATCAGATTAATCCAAGCAATATTTTCTAGAAACATTTTTTTTCCCTATCAATATTTCTAAAGGCCAAGGCCCTTGTTGTGGCAATATGGCTGGCTTGGGACTGGTTATGTTGCTGGTTTGAACCCAGGTCAGAATAATAGTCATTGAAACGAATTAATGGTCAGACTCCATAATGATGACTGTACTAAAAGATTTAGATAGACGAACAGAGTCTGCTGGTAGATTTCATCTGGCTTAAACCTGGTATTCTGAATTCACATCAAGGAAGATCAATATCCCATAGAAAGACTATGTGGAAAGAGTAGGTTTAAAGGAATAGACTTGACATGAGGGATTGTATCTTATAGACAACTAACTGGGGACTGATTTCTCAGTTGTTAGACTGGAATGAATATGGAATGGAGGCAACTGGACTGTGCTTTTATCCTGTTGTATAGTATCTTTGATTTAGTAGCTTAGTGGGCAGTATTGGTGATAGGAAGATGGTTGGACTAGATGATCTTGTAAGTCATTTCCAACCTCATGTTTCTATGATTCTATGATCTTCCCTCATCTCAGGTGTATTTCTGCAGTTCCAGTAAGTGTGTTTTCTAGATAAACCAAATATTTAATAAACCTGGAAGCATATATGGTACAGGTTCCCCTAGTCAAGTTCTTTTCTATTCCAGACAATCAGACTATATAATTACATTCATAAGCAGATCAAACTTCATCCCAAAAGTCATTAGGAATTGTCCCTAACATTCCAATGTGAAAGCTGTCCTAGAATCTCATAACAGAATTTACACAGTATTCATACACAGTGAGTGAATTGGGTAACAGAAGATTAAAATCCCAAGCAGGCACCTGAAGAATATATGCATTTTAAGGAGAGTTGGACACACTGAGTAGGGGTACAGCATCTCACAATATCTGATCTCATACTAAGAAGAAAAAAAAAAACGTCTGCCATATGTATTACTGGTGGAATCAAACTGGATTTAGACAATCATCAAACATTTGTTCTACGTATCACTGATTTTTTGCTTCTTCCATTTGGTGCAATTCAAGCAATGCA